CGCAGAATGTCCATCTATATACTGCGATGTCAAAAGTAGCATCTATAAATACATAATTTATGTTTAGTATATATTCAATTAGCATTTTTAGATTTTAATAAATTGATTTAATTAAATTATATATTTAACTTACCCTTTCGTAACTTTTCATGTATATCAGCTGTCTCTACTATATTGTAGATAACACCTTCAATAAGATATTGACTTTCTATGAAAGCCATTTTTTTCTATAAACAAATATTTTATTATTACACACTATTACACTAATCTATAATATCCATTTATGTATGTAATAATAAGTAAGGATAATGAGTACATATAATAGCTAGGTTGTAGGTTATTTATTTACAATTGTTACTTACATGGGAATTTTCGTCTTTCTTTATAAATTTTCGCGTTTTCCAGGACGTAATATCACACTTTTTATGGAAAATAATCGTTTCTTTATAGTTTTTCTAAAGAAGTTCTCGGAGAAAGGTTACTTCGAGAACCTCTGTAGCAAACTATAAAGAAAAGATTATTTTCCATAAAAAGTGTTAATATTACGTCCTGGAACGCGGAAATTTATAAAGAAAGACGAAAATTCCCATGTAAGTAACAATTGTAAATAAATAACCTATCATTATACTGTCTTATAACCTTTTATTGACAAGGCGAAGCGGGAATAATAAGCAGTGAGCCGAGTGAGCGATAGTGAGCGACATAAAATTACGCTCTCAAATATGGCGACCGCTCACGATGAGCGACTTAAGGAGCGCTTGCATACAGTACACAAATCTAGAGAGCGTAGTTAGCGGTTATTGAGCGCTCACTGAGCGATTGCGGTACTGGATGCACCCATTGGGTGCATCCAGTACGGCAACCGCTCACTGAGCGGCTAAGTAGCGGCTATTCGTGAGCGCTCGATGAGCAGCTTTTCATGTACTGGATACATGCTCACAGCTTTTAGACGTAATACAACTATATAACCTATTTTATGACAGATAGGTAAAAGTTAAAAGCAAAATTATATTTTTTGATTTAAAAATAATAATGGATCGACAAAATATTGTTACGCTTATGTTTAATTAAATTATATATTTAACTTACTCTTTCGTAACTTTTCATGTATATCAGCTGTCTCTACTATATTGTAGATAACACCCTCAATAAGATATTGACTTTCTATGAAAGCCATTTTTTTCTATAAACAAATATTTTATTATTACACACTATTACACTAATCTATAATATCCATTTATGTATGTAATAATAAGTAAGGATAATAAGTACATATAATAGCTAGGTTGCAGGTTATTTATTTACAATTGTTACTTACGTATGGGAATTTTCGTCTTTCTTTATAAATTTTCGCGTTTTCCAGGACGTAATATCACACTTTTTATGGAAAATAATCGTTTCTTTATAGTTTTTCTAAAGAAGTTCTCGGAGAAAGGTTACTTCGAGAACCTCTGTAGCAAATTATAAAGAAAAGATTATTTTCCATAAAAAGTGTTAATATTACGTCCTGGAACGCGGAAATTTATAAAGAAAGACGAAAATTCCCATGTAAGTAACAATTGTAAATAAATAACCTATCATTATACTGTCTTATAACCTTTTATTGACAAGGCGAAGCGGGAATAATAAGCAGTGAGCCGAGTGAGCGATAGTGAGCGACATAAAATTACGCTCTCAAATATGGCGACCGCTCACGATGAGCGACTTAAGGAGCGCTTGCATACAGTACACAAATCTAGAGAGCGTAGTTAGCGGCTATTGAGCGCTCACTGAGCGATTGCGGTACTGGATGCACCCAATATAACCAATCAAAACCAGAGAGAAGCCTGAGAGACGCCACGGCCGTTTTACGTGATCCGTCAAAGCGATACGCCACTTGTGGACCTAAAATGTGGACATTGGAACTACGTAGCCATGTGCACAATTTTTAGTTTCGTTCCGTGCTATGTCGACGAAGGATCGATAATACAGAGTAATGTGCACATTGATGTCTATTATACATGTATATTATACATCAATGTGCACATTATTTATTTACGTTTTATTCCATTTATACATAACAGAACTTATAAATTCACGCGCGCACGCGCGCGCGCGCGCGTGTGTGTGTGTGTATGTTATACACACGCGCACGCGCGCGCGTGTGTGTGTGTGTATGTTATACACACATTTACATTTGATTACAAATGTTTACTACTATGAAATTAGATAAATTCGTCTGATACTGTACATAAATGCGATCTAGGTCATTAAATGTGTTTCTATTTGTTCGATTAGATGAATTAATTCCAGAGACAGCCGTTGCATTACAATTGTACATTCATTCTTGTTTGTTCTTTTGGTTTTTTTTCCTTTAGTATTCCAATACTTACTCATTAGAGGCATCTAGAAATAAAGATTATGACATAAGCAAAGCTAAGATTGTAAATTTATTTTACTACTTTTTTCTATTACTAATGAAACATGTTCCATATTGATGTAGGACATTATAGCTAGCATCTCCAACTAATTGTTGTCTACTAAGTTTATTGTTATAAAATATAAATAACTACTTACCTCTAAACGAAATATCTTCTCATTCTCAAACTCATTACGCAATAATCTCAATTCTAAAGGATGCATTTTTGATGCACTTATAATCATAGAACCGTCATTACTACTCAGCCAGGATCCACAGCGCAAGACGTCAATATAAAAACATTCTTCATCTTTAAGATTTGTGGTACGACTGTAATTGATCAAAAAAATATATACCTGTATTTATGTATATGAAAAATATGAAAATAAAAGCTAGTGTTAAAATTATATTTACAATTGCGATCTCCAGCATAAGAAACGGAATGGAAAAGATACTAAATCGCAGCGCACACCAAGTCTTCTCGCCACACAGTGAAATATTATTGCTAGAGGTAGTCCAGTACCATATGTATTTTTTAAAATCTGTTTAAAATCACAAATTGCAATCAAATATGTTAATATTAAGACCTAACAAGCATAGAACTGTGCTTATAGTATTAAGTATTCATAATGTACTATAATTTAAACTTACGTAATCTCTAAAGAAGATTTCTGGAATAAAACTTTCCTTACGCCCCTCAGGCCACCTACATATCTTATAATTCACATAAGAATTTAATTTATTTTGTAAAACTTTACATAGACTCTCTAAAATTTGTCTTCCTTCTGTGCTATTCCAATGATTGTCATCAATATTATTGTATTTCCAAAAGAGAATCTGCTCGGCTGATATTGAAAATATTGGATGCGCAGGATATTTGTTTTTAAGGTACTCCAATACCTGCTGCGCAATATTATCCAATGACCTTCTCACATTCATGTAAGACACATATTTTTGGGATTGATGGCATTGTGCCAAAATAGTGGCTGCTTCTTCTAAAATTTGTTTTTCTTTACAATAATTCATGAATTTGTGCCACTTGTTTTTTAAACGATAAAGGTGCAGGTACAAAAGAAGATTGTTTACCTCATGTTTCATATCATATTTCCTATATATAAAACATTTTATATTTAATATTTAAATTCTAATATTAATTTAATTAAATATGCTATGTGTAAATATAAATGTATTATAATCTGCTACATTAACAATTTGTTAAAACTTACATTGAAAGTTGCGCAAGCAACTTTAGCTCATTTACAAAGAAATAATAATTCATAAAATGCGCGCCTTTATCTGGATCAAACAGTGAATGCAAATTCTTTAAGCCAACATCAAATGAATCATCTTTGTAATAGCGCTTTTTGGGCATCAGCAAAATGTAATGCCATAATTCTTTCTTAGATTTTATACCTGCTTTTACTTGTTCTAGAAAATCAATATTTTCCTTGCACAGTAGTTCATCATATTCATCTCTTAAAAAAGGCCATCTAAAATTAAAACAAAAAATACATATTTCAAAATTATACAACCTAGATGAAGTCATTGTAACAGAAATGAAAATTTTAAAACAAAGTTACTATATATGTCAAATTTTAAATAAAATAAAAAAATTTGTTTATATATAAGGCAAATAAAATAACATAATTCGCTTATCACTAAATTTACATCATGATAATAATAAATGACACTAGTTTACACAAAAATAAATGTGAAAAAATACCTCTGATAAAACTTCTTTCGCCAAAGCACATTGTCATTGATTATCTTGTTCAACCACTTGCATGTGAGAGCGAAACTCACAATATCCTTAATGCTGACGCTCTCTACACATAAGATGATACTAATGACTTCATGGGGCAAATCCATTATTGTAGCCATTGCATAGATAGTTCAATAAAGTACGAGAGAAAGAACTTGGAGTTCACAATAACGGCAAATATGTCCGTTATTAAACTTGTAAAATTTATTTCTTACTGTAATAAAAAACGAGTAAAGTACTACTCACTGTAATAGGAAATTTCTAGTAATGAATTTGGATAAACTTCCGAAAAGCTATCACTTTCGACTTAGCTGATTTTCAGCCGAAATACTTATTTTATCTACTGAATAATATTCCCAAATGTATTTTTGGCGCAAATGCCCTCTCCGTTCCCCAGGCCGCCTCAAAGGTAAAACTGTTTTTGTTAATTATTTCAGAAAGTATTATTTGTACGGAAAAAGTTGTCAAACAAAAAATGAAGTTCATAAAAAGTTCTACAAATAATTTTATACATATTTTACCTAACTGCAATACTTTAGCCTTAACTTTATTATGTAAAATCTGGAGGCAGTGTGTTCCACCCCCCTGCGGGGAGCTCAACCATCAAAAAAACTATACACATAGGGTCTGGATTGAATCTCGCTTTGCGTAGAAATTCGTAAACCCATGTGGAACCTCGTTTCGCGTGGAAAGTGTATACGTGGGGGCAGTGTTTTCCGCCCCCCTGCGGAGGGCTTAACCATCATGAAACTATACACATAGGGTTTGGATTGAATCTCGCTTTGCGTAGCAAGTCGTAAACCCATGTGAAAAACCTCTCTTTGCGTTGTGGAGTGTATGTGTGGATAAAGGGGATGCCGCCCCTCTTACGGGGGCTTTTACAAGTTTTTTGATAATAACGACTAAAATATTGGAGTTAGGTAAAATATGTATAAAACTTTATTTGTAGAGCTTTTTATGAGCATTATTTTCTGTTTGACAACTTTTTCCGTACAATGAATACTTTCTGAAATAATTAACAAAAACAATTTTACTTTTGAGGAAGGCTGGGGGCGGAAGAGGAATTTGCGCTAAAAATCCATTTGGGAATATTATTTACTAGATAAAATAAGTATTTAGACTGAATATCAGCCAAATCAGGGGTGATAGTTTTTCGGAATTCCACCCCAGGTAGAAAAATGGGAGAAGCCAACACACGTGCTGTGTACGGTCTATATAGGTCTGTTCTTTATAGCTGAACTGGCTGCACTAGTTCAGAGTTTATCTTTCTCCTTCCAATGTGGAACGAAAATCATAAACTCTGAACTAGTGCAGCTAGTTCAGCTATAAAGAACAAACACACAATTCATATTCGCGGACGAACGCGTATAAGGCGTTGTACTTTTGTAAATTGTAAACTTGGTATATGATACATAAGATTTGTTCGCGTCGCATGCCGCAACCATGCTCCAATACGCTCAAATCTAAAATATCACGTTATGTATACGTCTAACGTTAGGGCCTATCCAGGCTAACTTGCATAGTCGCATAAACATTTGCATAAGGAAATGGACCAATCAATTTTTTTATAAATATGTTTATGCGACTATGCAAGTTTGTCTGGATAGGCTCTTATGTGTATGTCTTCCCTTATTTCTCTGCCTGCGTCTACTTATCACCTCGGTTCCTGATATAATTGGACATTAACTATAAAAGATCCGGCTTCTATAAAATTGATTTGATCCGTTGATAACCGCGTTATAAAAGTATTAATTATTATTAAAAAGTATTAAAAACAATTAATAAACTTACTGCTTATTGTTCAAAACATTCAGATCCACGATCGAAGCACACGTGCCAACGCTAGAATTCGTCTGTTACGCGTATACATGCAGTTGCATGCACGTGCACGCTTGTCGACGGAAATCACCCGCTCAACGTATCGAAGTTCATCCTTTCGTACTCAGCCAATCCGAACGTTTCGCTTAACTTAATACACGCTACCACTTGCGTTAGCGCTAGTATCGAGCTAGATAGCCAATTACTGATCAAGTAGTCACTGCGCGCGAAAGTGACGCTTGCATTGATAATGTCCATTTCCACCAATGTAGATTAACCTTAACTTCGGTTCAACTTACTTTTCATCTTTTTCATATTCTAAAAATTTATTAAAGGATCTATGATCTTACTGATCCACACAATTGCTCACGTTTGTAATTTTCACTACATTGCATGATTCAGAAGCGACTGGTGATATGACTTCTTGGTCACAATCGTCACAATTTCCTGTTCTTCTGCAATGCTTCAATCGTTTTATGACTTCCCAGTCTTTTCAAATAAAATAGATTATTATTTATAAGTTTACAATTTCATAAACTTTACAATTAGTATCAAATAATTTTACAATTTTATAGACTACACATCTACATTGTATTTAAATATCTTCATGTATTATAAATGTTGAATAAACAAATTTAGAACCATGTTTTTATTGATGTACACTGAATAATTAATATGATCCTTTTACGTTACGCTTAATGTTTTATAATAAACTGCATATGTTACTTTACAAACTGCATATAAATAATTATAATTTGAACATTTGTGGCATTTTACATAATTAAAAGTGGACTAATTCAATGCATAAAATGTATATTTATTAATTAAAGATACAAGTTACTTTGGTATAAAAAGATATATACACATACGCACACACACATGTTTATGCAATAGAAATTTAGATTTTTTAAAATTTTATATGAACATCATACTAATAGAGTTTTCGAATAAAGCGTCTTTGATCCATCTTGAATCAATTAGTCACTATTTTACTATTAGCGTTTTCGATTGACTAGATTGATTAATGACGTCATTCCATTGCCTTTAATAAAAGACTTAAATTCCTAGTAAAATAATGATTAATCAACCTTGGATCGATCAAAATCCGTTGATTCAAAAACGCTATATAAATTCAAGTCTTTTATTGACGGAGACAATGCAATGAATATTGGGTCTGTTGTCGAATACGGTTCAATCGAAAACGCTATAATATTCATTGTGATATAAATTTTGTGCCGCATAGTATAAAAAACAATGTTACAAAAAATAAGAAAATTTTTGGAGAATAAAAAAAATGGTTTATTTACGTTTTATTGCATTCATATATAATGGAACTTATAAATTTACGCGTGTGTGTGTGTGTTATACGCACATTTACACATATTTATCACTACAAAAGTAAATAAATTTGTCTGATATCGTACATATATGCGATCTAGATCATTAATCGCCTTCGTATCTTATTTGTTAGGTCCCTTAATTCATGAAACGACTGTTTCATTATAATTTTACTTTTATTCGTGATTTCCATTCCTGTACTTTCGATTGTTACTGCTCCAGTATCCGTACTCACGGATACATTAAAATCATTACTTATTTGTGTCATCATCTAGAAATAAAGATTATGACATAAGCAAAGCTAAGATTGTAAATTTATTTTACTACTTTTTTCTATTACTAATGAAACATGTTCCATATTGATGTAGGACATGTTAGCTAGCATCTCCAACTAATTGTTATCCATTAAGTTTATTGTTATAAAATATAAATAACGGCTTACCTCGTCGAGACATCGCTTTTCCAACTCAAACAGTTTACTCCACGTCATATAACTTAAGACCGGGAATCCTGAGCTTGCAAAACAAATAATCATAGAAGTCCACCTGGAGTAACTTCGCGTGACGTCAATAAAAGAATATTCTTTATCTGTACGATTTGTGATATGACTGTAAGTAATAAAAAATGTATACATATATAAATATGATAAGAATAAAAATTTAGGCTAGCATTAAAATTATACTTACTAATTCGATCTCCAGGTTAAGTAGTAACCGTTAAAAGAAGGTACTAAATCGCAGCGCACACCAAGTCTTCTCGCCACACTGTGAAATGTTATTGCTACAGGTAGTCCAGTACCATAATTATTTTTTAAAGCCTGTTTAAAATCACAAATTGCAATCAAATATATTAATATTAAGACATAACAAGCATAGGACTGTGCTTATAGCATTAAGTATTCACAAAGTAATATAATTTTTAACTTACGGAATCTATAAAAAACTGTTCTCGAATAAAACTGCTCTCACACCATTCCTTATTAGATATCTTATATCCATTAAAAATTAATTTATAAGCTAAAACGTTAGATAGACTCTCTAAAATCTGTCTTGCTTCTATCCCATTCCAATGATTGTCATCGATATTATTGTATTTCCAAAAGGAAAACTGCTCGGCTGATATTGAGAATATTGAATGTGCAGGATATTCGGTTTTAAGGTCTTCCAATACTTGCTGTGCAATGTTATCCAATGACGTTCTCACATACATGTAAGACACATACTTTTGGGGTTGATAGCATTGTGCTAATATAGTGGCTGCTTCTTCTAAAATTTGTTGTTGCTTCGGATAATTCACGAATTTGTTCCACTTGATGCTTAAAAGTTTATGGTGGTGGTATAAAAGAAGCACCTTTAAATAATATCTTTGTGTCATATCGAATTCCCTATATATGTAACATATTTTATATTTAATATTTAAATTCCAATATTTATTGAATTAAATATGCTGTATATAAATATATATATGTAAATATATTATGATCTGCTATATTAACAATTTGTTAAAACTTACATTGAAGATTGTGCAAGCAACCTTATCAACTCATTTTGAAAGAAATAAAAATGCTTTAAATATTCGTGTTTATCTGGATCAAACAGTGAATGCAAAGGGTTTAGGTCGTCGTCATCATCATCATCATCATCATCATCATCATCATTATCATCATCATCATCATCATCATCATCATTATTATTATCATGACATAAAACACCAATTTTATAGGGATCTTTAGAGAGCCGCAACAAGTCATACCATATTTCTTTCTTAGATTTTATTAGACCTGCTTTCACTTGTTCAAGAAAATTTGTATTTTCTTTGCACAGTAGTTCATCATATTCATCTCTTAAATAAGGCCATCTAAAATTAGAAAAAATACATTTTTCAAAGTTATACAATTTTACATATTTTACACACTTTCTTTATGTAATCTTTTGAAATTATACAGGCTAGACAAAGTCATTGCAACAGAAATAAAAATTTCAAAACAAAGTCATTATACATGTCAAATTTTAAATAAAATAAAAAAATTTGTCCAAGGCAAATAAAATAAGAAAATTCACTAATCACCGAATTTACATCATGAATATAATAAATAACGCTAGTTTGCACAAAAACAAATGTAAAAAAATACCTCTGATAAAATTTCTTTCGCCAAAGCATATTGTCATTGATTATGTTGTTAAACCTCTTGCATGTGAGAGCGAAACTCACAATATCTTTAATGCTGATGCTCTCTTGACATAAGATGATACTAATCACCTCATGAGACAAATACATTATTGTAGCCATTGCACAGATAGTTTAATGAAGTATGAGAGAAAGAACTTGAAGTTCACAATAACAGCAAGTATATACGTTATTAAACTTGTATAATCAATTTCTTACTGCAATAAAAAATGGGTAAAGAATTACTTACTGTAATAGGCAATTTCTAGTAATGAGATTAATCCCTAAGAATCATTCTAGAATGCATCGCAAATGTCCCATCGCCAGTCGCGAAGGATGGCAATTACTAATTAAAAAGTGTTATTTCTGATTATTTCTAATAAAACAGGACATTTGCAAAGCATTGTATAATGATCTTAAGATTATTGGCAATTTTATAAAAACCGGATCTCTTATAATTAATATCCGATTATGGCAGGAATTGAATGGTTAAGTAGACACAAGCGGAAAATTGAGGAAAGCCAACATACGTGCTGTATATCATATACTGTCTATATTTTACAATACCCGTATATTTTACAACAGTGCAACGCACAATTCATATACGCAGACGAACACATATAACGCATTGTACTTTTGTAAATTATAGACTTGATATACGATACACAAGATTTGTCGCGTCGCATGTTCTAATACACGCCCCAACCATGTTCCAATACACTCCAATCTAAAATATTACGTTATGTATACATCTAACGTCGTTACGTATATGTCTTCCTTTATTTCTCCGTGTCTCCTTATCTCTTCGGTTCTTGATATAATCGGACATTAATTATAAAGGGTCTGGCTTCTATAAAATTGATTTGATCCGTTGATAACCGCATTATAAGAGTGTTATTATTAAAAAAGGTAATTATTGAGTGTTGCTGCCTCACTTCCAATTTCGAAAAATTTATTCTCATTCGACGCGTTTTTGCGTGAAACGAAGGAATCTGATAAAAAAAGTGTCGCTCTGTCCAGCGAAGCGAGATATTAATCGTTAAATTTTATCACTTTTTAGGTTAAGAAAGCTGTTTATTTAAAAGTGACGCGTGGACGCACGCTACTTAGCGTCAGTATCGAGCTAGACAGCCAATTGTTGATCAAGTAAACACTGCGCGCGCAAGTGTCATACTCATCAATACGTGTGCTAACGTCACGGCTAGCAAGACCCCTAAAGGCCAATGTCTACGATGCTAGAAATCGGTCCCAGAAATGTATTACCAATCAACTTGCATTTTTTATGAAAAAACGGCAATTTTATTGGCTATTTAGTGTTTTCAAATGGAATAAAGCTTATAATAACTGAACAATTTAATGATAATTTAATTTTACAATAACTAAAGTAAAGGTTTTGTTTCAGCAGTGCGTTACGATTTTCATATGTTAATACAAAAACATTCTACATATATCTAGAATTTATGTGCATTATCTTTCAGACTGAGAAGAAGTAAAAGTTATAAAACTGTCATTATGGATACTACTAAGCATTGTATCAATGAATTTGAGGATTATTCCAGTCCTACGAGTCATAACATAGTCGACAATGATACTAATACAGTAAGACATTTAAACTTTATCTAATATACTATTCTAAAATTTAAAAAATATTTAAATTTATTAAAATATAAAAAAGATTTTTAACAAAGGTATAATTATTTATTGTTAGATTCATAAGGCATTTGATTCTTTATTGACATCAGAAATTAAGAAATTAATAAAAATACTGAATGAAAATGAGAGGAAATGGCGTAACAGCGATGATTATTCTGTATATACTGGATTAGCAGGAATTGCATATACATTACATCATTATGGAAGATATAATGATTCTATCTATATACAGGTATTTTTAGTAAAGTTTAACTTGCTTTATTTTTATTTTAAAATATTATGTTGCTGTAGTTATCTTTTTACAGACTGCAACGGAATTATTGGAAAAATGTACAAAACATGCAAAAATCAAAAGCAGACCTAAAATAACATTCTTGACAGGTGTGATAGGTCCATTTGCATTAACAGCAGTGATATTGCATTCACAAGGAAAGACAGAGGAAGCAAAAGAAGTAATTCTTAAGTATGTGATGATTTTACATTTAATTTGAAGATTTATTTTTATGAATTAAGTAATTCAGTTTAAAAATTTGTAGATTGAAATCTTTATCAACTTATGTTTTGGATGAACATAGTGATATTCCTAATGAATTATTATACGGAAGGGCTGGATATCTTTCTGCTTTGCTTTATGTAAATGCCAATATATCTCCAGCTCCTATAGAAGCAGATTTCGTCAAAAAGGTTTTTTTAGAATTTTATATTTATATATTATAAAGATGCATATTAACTTGTTTTTATAAAAATAATGTAAAATCTTTGTATTAAAATTATTTTTAGATTGTTTCTTGCATAATTGTTTCTGGAATAGCATATGCTTCATCAAATCATTGTCAATCACCTCTAATGTACTCTTGGCATGATAAAGAATATATCGGTGGTGCTCATGGATTAGCAGGCATATTATATTTATTATTGCAGGTACACTTTATATTGCAAAAATATTTTTTCTTCAAAAAAGTAATAATTTTTATTTTTTAGGCGCGACAATATTTAACACAAGTACAAATTGATAGTTATATAAAACCATCCTTACACTATCTTCAGAAATTACAATTTCCTTCTGGAAATTTTCCTTCTTCAATGGGGAATTCTTCCGACAAATTAGTGCAATGGTGTCATGGAGCGCCTGGAATGCCTGCATTATTTTGTTTAGCTCATAAGGTAATATAAACTCTGAAAAATTTATCAAATGAATGAAATTTATTTAATTCATTGTGCTACTGGTAATTAGGTGTTTGAGGACAATACATTTTTGGAAGTTGCAATACGATGCGGAGAAGTAATATGGCAAAGAGGATTATTGAGAAAAGGATACAGCATTTGTCATGGTGTTGCTGGAAATGGATATGCTTTTATACATTTATTTCAACACACGAAGGTTTGTTCATTTATATAGATTTTATTTCTTACATATTAAACGGCAATGTGTAAATATTTGAGATTTAAATGTACTAAAATGATTTTATTTAAACCTTCAAATATCTATATCTTTATGTATTAATGGAAATTGGAATATATCTCATTAGAATAATCAAGTTATAATTGTTTAAAGGATTAAATAATATTTTAATAACTTTAGGATATTAAATATTTGTATCGGGCTTGCAAATTTGCCGAATGGTGTTTCCATTATGGGTCATGTCAAAACCGACAACCTGATAGACCTTTTTCTTTGTTTGAAGGTAAATCAATTGATCATCTGGGAATTAGTACATGTATATTATTTTTCAGTAATTTTACATAATATATATACATAATATATTTACATAATATATTTACATAATACATAATATTGATTATTCTTGTTTTCAGGTCTTGCTGGTGTTATTTATTTCCTGATAGACTTACGACAACCTCATTTAGCTAAATTTCCGACATATGATATTTAAATAAATATTTATAACATTAAATTTTGTTTTCTCATGCAAGATAGATTCGTTAACATAATTTTTTAGAAAGTTTTCTAATAAAATTTATTTATTACTTTTATCGACTAGAATGTCTCTTTTCTTCTAATATAAAATTTTATTTAAATACAATATTTTTACTTAATAAATAAAACTTTTTATTTAACTAAAATTTATTTGTGTAGTATCAGATATTTCTGTAAAGATAGAGTTTATCTTGCAAACATAGGTATTTCACACATGTTTATGCTCTACCATACAAAGGCTAATGTATATTCCTCATTTGTACGCCCTCGGCATACATTTTCTTATCGATATTGATTGATTTATTTAGATAATGAAAGAGTCGGGGTCAATATCTTCGACAAACCAATCTCCCGAGAGTTTTTGACAAGTTTTCTTCCCGATACATAAAACCAAATTGTATTATAAGAATGTATTTTTTTAAACGTCTTAAACATATTCTAAAAGCATTTACAATAAAAGTTTTGTTTGCGTCATATGGCGCAATGATGAACGTGCATTGTATATTTTATCGCGATTGTAAGAATTTAAAAAATAAAACTTCTGAGAATTGATAGACAATCGTGTGGAACAGTGCTCGGAATTAGTTGAACATTTCAGCCGATTTCCGCGGTATACGTCTCCTTTTTTTTTTTATGGCGCGCGCCGCAGCCGCTAGGGCCAGCGCCGCCGAGCGTTAGGAGCGGCACTATCTGATTAGGTTCTGTGAGTAGGTTCTTCTCCCTATTTATTAAAATTTTAAAAACTTTATTAAAATTTATTAAAAATAAATTTTTATTTTTAAATTTATTAAGTGGAAATATTTCAATAGATTTTTACGTCATCCATGAGGTACTAGCTGACGCGTTTTTTAAAAAGTGATTTCTATCTATATTATTGCATCAATTGTTCATTTTCATAAAAGGCCAAGAAAATCTAATTAAGAAAATCTCTTTTATATATTTTTTTTAAATTAAGAATTTGTTATTTTTATCTTTAGTGGAATAGGCCTACGGGGGAAACCACTTAAAAAAAACCTCATGGGTGACGTGGAAATCTATTGAAATATTTCCACTTAATAAATTTAAAAATAAAAATTTATTTTAATAAATTTTAATACATTTTTTAAATTTTAATAAATAGAGAGAAGAATCCACTCATAATCAGATAGTGCCGCTTCTAACGCTCGGCGGCGCTGGCCCTAGCGGCTGCGGCGCGCGCGATAAGGAGAGGAAAAGAGGCGTATACCGCGGAAATCGGTTGAAATGTTCAACTAATTCCAAGCACTGGTGTGGAATATCATAAATAACTTAATATTACTGAATTATCATAATTGAATTAAACTCTTACTTGTGGTACATCCCGGCCATTATTATTATATCTCACTGATGAATTGTGTGAGAGTTTCGTTCGAAAGTTCATATGTTTGTAAAATTGAAGAAAAAGAACATCAATATCGTTCTAGGTAATAAGTACTTGCCTCCGCAAATCATATAATTCAGACATAAACTATCGTTCGGCGATGAATAGTGACTAATATATGAGAAAAAAATAGCAGCATTACATAAGATAAATCCAAATCTTTATATCAAATTAGAAGAAAATACTTTGGAAATGAAAAATTTAATAAAAAATTTCTAGATTTGCTTGTATTCTTCTTGTTCTTTTCTTGAGATTCCTAACATATGTACTAGTATGGACAATAACTTAACGATCTAGCACCTTATAAAAACCTCAGAAATTAATAAATATACGATAAAGAATAAGATAAGAAACAATTGTATTAGAATATAGAAAAAAAAATCATAGAAACAATTAATAATTAATAATTACAATTAATAATTACAATTAAGGCAGACAAAGTTTTAGAAAGCATGGGACATGTTAGCTAATTAAAGAATTAATAAACTCAGCATATTTGCTAATATTAGGCGTTATTTGTCTTGTCTTGTCTTCATAAACAACTGATCTGCGGTTTACTTATTCCGGTCAGAGGATACCACGATAAAGTTTATCATTGCCTCGGTATATACTCTTTTGCTCTGATTCACGTTGCATTGTGTAGTAATCAACCTTCACCAGTAGCACACAAACTGTGGTATTAATATAATAAGCAGTATCAACATTACGTTAACATTAAGTTTGCAGAAGGCGCGTAGTGTTATGTGCCGCAACTTTTAGTTTCTTCAATTATTCTGTTTATTCGAACCTTTTTTATCTTTACTTCTTTTTGACCCTAAACACGTGACTCTTCAATAACTGCAACAAACATGGATTAACCTACCCACACAGCAGGATCTCCAGAAAGAGTTCAAAAAGTATTCTCTTTTTTGAATTCTTTATGATCTGCTAAAATGATTACAAAAAATGGTCTAAAAGTGCTCTTTTCTGAGTTCTTTAACAGTAAATCAAAAAGAGCTCACTGTAAACTTATATTTCTAACACAAAATAGTTCTTCATAATCAGCTCATTTTGACATCATATAATATGATGCGTGAAAACAAAAAACACGCATCACCCAACCTGACTCGGCTGGATTCTTGTTGGTCATCTATATATTGTTCGTCGATTATTCTCTTTGTTATTTATATTTACCCACAAAGTACTTTCCAAGTCTCGCAGTTCGCAGTGCATAAAAAACACGCAGTGTGTGAAATTGTTCCTGGTACAACGTTCTCTGACGGAATTTTTCACGTAATTTTTTGAGGTATATTTGTTCCCAGTAAACGAGAAATTATTGAAAGTTCAGAAATAGGATTGAAAATTATTGAGAAGAATTAAATAAAATTCAGCATCATCGTAAATAAATTCTTCTCAGTAATTTTTAATCCTATTTCTGAACTTTCAATAATTTCTCGTTTACTAGGTTATATGCATAAAAAGCTCTTTATTAGTGTGTTCGAAAATAGGTTTGGTTACTGCCAGTAAAAACAGTACTGTTGGCAGCAATGA